TTTTGGTAGTGGAGATCAAACTCAGGACCTTGCAAGGCAGGCACAGGCACCGCTGAGCCCACACCTACCCAGCCATTTTTAATGTTTTTTTTTTTTTATACTGAGACAAATCTTGCTAAATTGCCCGGGAGGGCTTAAACTCGTGATCCTCTTGCCTCAGATCATTGTTTTTTGTAATGATCTGATCATTCACATGACCTTTCTTTTTCTTTCTCGCTCTCTCTCTCTGTCTCTCTCTCTCTCCTACCTTCCTTCCTTCCCCCTTCCCTCCTCTCCTCTTTCCTCTCTTCTCTTTTCCCTAGTACCAAGGACAGAACTCAGGATTTTGCACTTGCCAGACAGGCATAGTGCCACTGAGCTCCACCTCTGGCCTTCGCCGTTTCTAACATCGCTAAGTCACACCATTTCCCATTGCCGACATCTCTTCGACAATGTCCTCTTCCACTTATCTCTGGCATCAGTATCTCTAACCAGCAATGTCTCTGATCACAGAATCCTCTCACCACCAGATTTTCTACCAGTGAATCCTGGTCACCAACACCCCCGATCGCTCACCTCCAGTCACCAACATCTCTAATGCCCAACACCAGTGACTGCTGGATCTTCTTCAGAGTCTCTGGTGGCTGATGGCTCTACCCTCCAGGGTCCCTTATACCCCTGATAGCCACCTCCCTGGTCATCCATCCCTAGCCATTGGGCTCACCAATTACAAGGGATCCCTATTCCATAATCAGCAACGCCACTGATCCTTAGTAGGTGACCTAGGGCTCTCCTCAGCAGGATCTCTCCATGTCCTCAGTTGTTAAATCTGATCACTGAGGTCTCCTTTACCCTTAATTATCCAGGACCCGAACACCAAATGCTGTCATCACTAATGCTTCCGGTCACTTGCCTCCCTGATGGATGATTAATACCATATCCAACCCATGGTGGTTCTGATCTGTAGGATCTCTGAGCGATGCCTCCTGAAGGTCAGGCCGTGACCTCAACTCTCTCTGACAGTGTTTGTGAATGATGTCGTCCCTCAGTGACTCTCCCATCCCTGATACTGGTCACTCACCCCTAATCATCTCATCCCTGGTCACCAATGTCTATGCCCTGGGATCCTGATGACTAGGATTTCTGATTGTTCCTTGGCACCTCTGAGGCCCACCTGGTCTGGTAGGCCTCATCCCAGCAAGTCAGGATGTGGCACCGCTGCCCTATTCATGGTCCTTCCTGTGGAAGGACACCTGGATCACTCAGCAGCCAGCCCGCTGCTTAGCTGGGTGGGCCCTGGGCTCTCACTGGAGCACAGTGGCCCTGGACCCATAGGTCCCCTATAGCTTCCCGTGTACCCCCACTGGCTCCGGAGCATTCTGCCTCCCTCTACCTGCCAGCTGCAGCCACAGCAAGACTGGGAAAGTCCCTGTCGTGTCCCCTGGGTCATGACTGCAGGACTGTGTGTGTGTGTGTCTGAGTACATATTTAGATGCGAGTGTTGAAATTTTCCTGAAGGCCACAAATCTTTCTAGGTGTTCGGGCCACATCTGTGAATAAAACAAGCAAGAATCAAGCCCAATAATGATGCTATGCTACCTGGTCTGTAGTATGCATGCCAGGCCCATTGTCCAGAGTCCAAAGCCAGAGTCAGGAGTCCAGTGTCTACGTAGAGACTAGAATCTGCAGCCACTTACCAGAAACTGGGAAACTTGAACCCAAAATGCAGAGCCTGAACCCTCACGTCCAGAATTCAGAGCGTGATGCTCAGAACTCAGAACTTATCCAAAAACTCTGAGATGTGACCCGGAGCCCAGATCTCAAAATCCAGATCCTAGTAATGTACCGAGTCCAGAATGTTGGCCTTAAATGTGGGACTCCAAATCTATAAACCTTAACTCAGCATGGAGGATGTGGAGTTCAGAATCTAGAACCTGTGTCCCATAGCCTAGAACCCCACATCCAGAACCGAGAGCATGGCTGAGGACCTACAGGCCAGAATCCAGAGCTCCAAACTCAGAATGAACCCCCAAGGGGCTGCCTTGTTCCTCTGCGTCGCCTGGCTAATTCCCTTTCCTGCCAGCCCAGGTTTAGGGAGCACCCAGCATCAGGTGTGGTGTCAGCCAGCAGGAAATAAGTGCACGAGCAGGTTCCCTTTCCAGCCACAGAGGCTCCAGAGCATAGGGACTGTGTGTGTCACGCTGTCCCCTTCGCTGCCTGCCAGCTCCAGCTTGGGCAGGCTCTTCTCCTGGGTCTGCTGTAGAGGTTTGTTTGTTTACTCCACACATCTACCCACCTTGCTTGTTCCAGACATTTAGGTGGTGAACAAAACACACACACACACACACACACACACACACACACACACACACACAGGTACACAAAGATCCCCCTCCCCCGGTAACAAGCTCTTGGTATGGGGGCCAGAGTAGAGGGAAGCCAGGGTGTTCAGTTGGGAAGGGTGAGGACCCTAGGCTGGAGTCTCAGCAAGTTTCGTGGGAGCCACAGAAGCCAGACTAGGGGGCTGCGGTGGGAAGCTTCTGTTCCCTTCCAAGATCGCCGGGAGCCCTTGCTCTGCGAAAACAGTTTGGGTTCTGTGGACACAAAGCCCCGGGCAGGGCTGGACATGCATCCAGGCTCTGCCAGTGGCCGCCTTGGGCAGGCAAGGGCTGCCTTCACGGTTCCCCAGGCCCTGGCGCCAGGGCGGCCGGGGTGGGGTCGGCCTTTGTTCCATCTGTTTGCACCCAGGTGGGGCTGCTGGCCCTTCCTCCCTTCCGCTTACTGGGAGCTCCCAGGCCTGGCTTCTTACTCCGTTTTCCCATAGGACCAAAGCAAATCGCCCCTGGAATTCTTAGGGACCAACTCCATCCTGCTGTGGCCCCTCCTGCCGCCTGATGACCTGCCTGGAGAACAGGGAAGGATCAGACTTCTGGATGAGTCCCCAGGGCCACAGACGCGGCTCTGCCCCGGGGGAATATGTTGGGAGGAACGCAGGCCCTCCATCTGCCTGACCCCTGACCATGGACAAACTTACCTGAGGCAGGACAGAGGACAAACAAGGCGGGGTGCAGTCCCCAGGGTGGGTGGGTCTTCAATGAGTTTATGATAGAGATAGTTCCATTCCAACGCCACTGGCTGTTTGGGTGTTTTAAGAAAGGCAAAATGATAAAATGTTTCCAAACTTTATCTGGAAAAAAAAAAAAAGAACAGGCAAAGCTAGCAGAACAAATCAGAAAATTAGGGAAAATAAAGTGAGGAGTGTATATGGGTGTGTGAAATGTTTTCCAATATAAAACAAGATCCTATTATCACAGTCATTCAAAGCTGGTGCTTCAGCTTTTAGGATAAACAGATCAATGGGGAGCTCGGAACAGATCCTATTATTTCCAGGGTGTTGGATGAAGGGGAGATCTTGGCTTACTGTGAAGGTGGGGGTCTGTTCAGCCAAAGAGCCCTGGGAGATCTCCCACCCACTCTGAGGTCCTGTCTGGCCAACGGACAGGTTTTTGGGGTTTGCGGGATGTTTTATAAAATGTGAACAAGTTGCAAATGTTTCAAATTAGGAGATTCAGCCGGACATGGTAGTGCATACCTATAATCCCAGTACTCAGGAGGCTGAGGCAAGAAGATTGCGTGAGTTCCAGGCCAATCTGCGCTACAAGGTGAGGAGACCCTGTCTCAAAGAAACCAACAACAACAACAACAACAAAAAGAGAGAGATTCACATAAAAATATGTGGAAGATCTTTCTGCGTCTCTCCTCTCAGGTGCAAGGCATGTATTCCTCAAAAGCCTCCCCCTCCAGGCCCCTCTTTCTCTTCTTGGGGACATGCCTTTGAGTCCTGACAACGCCACACACAGCCTATTACAGGCTTGAGATTTATTAAAGGCTGAATCTTTTCACTGTTTTCGGGGTGCTGGGGATGGAAGCCAGGGCCTGGAAAGTGTAGGCAGTCTCAACCACTGCGCTACACCCCAGCCTAACCTCTCACCAAAGAAAGATTTAATCTGCAACCCAACCTTTGCGACCTCTCTGGCTGGCCTGTCCCGTCTAGGTCCCCACAGACAGAGAGAGGGACACTGGGAATGCAGCGCTCACGTTTAGCCTTTCCAGGAACCAAAGGGCCTAACAGAAACACTGTTGAACAGAAAGGTGGGCCAGCTGTGGCAGTGAGGAGGGCAGCAGGATCGCTTGGATGCTTCAGAAAGTGTCTCAGAGGGCCAAGACTTGAACGTCGGGTGATGATCTAAACACTTTTTGCAGGCAGCTCTGGCCCCAGAGATTTCCAGCACAGCATTACTGACAGGACAGAGAGATGACACACGCTCTGCATGCTCAACAAAAGGGGTGGTGAGGAAACCTCCAAGGAACCGGAAACAGGAGTGTAGACAGGTGTGGAACGCCGCAGCGGCACTCACGACACAGGATGGTGCTGTGGACCAGCCGGTTTCCAAAGAGAACAAATGGGTAAAGCAAGATGCATCCATCCATCCCGTGGAGCATCCTTCGGGCTTACAGGGGGAGGGGATTCTGACTCTCTGAAACCCGAGGTGCAGTGCTGAGAACACACGTTAGGGGCCACTTATTTCACTTCCCAGGGCTGTGAAATTCGTCACAGGGACAGGAAGTGTCAAGGGGGTGGGGGGCAGGGATGAGGACTGAGTGCTTCACGGGACAGGGTTTCTGTTTGGGAAGATGGAGGAGCCCTGGAGGGGGCCGGTGTTGATGACTGCATGATGCTGCGAATGTGCCACGGCCCACACCTTCATTATAGCAGTCCTCAGACTCCCAAGTGGAAAGAATTCTCACCTGGTGTTTGCAAACCACGACATCTGTGGGGTGGATGGTTTTCTTCTTTTCTCTCCCACTTTCTAAGTGCTCTGTGATGTGGTTTAATGACTTTAGTGGTGAAGTTAATATTCTAAAATAATTATGGAAGAATGGGAAACAATTTTCTAAAAACACGCAAAGATTCGTAATAAGAACTGTGGTACACAGTGAAAAGACCCCCACCTTCAAAGAGACAGACCCACACAGGAAGACAGAAAGTGCACCTCCGACGCAAGTGTCAGGGAGCAGCCAGTGAGCACCCGACAGGGGTCTGACCCCAGGAGGGACCAATCACACAGGGGCCCCGAGTTCCACCTGTCTCAGCAACCACGGGCAGGTGCGGAGAGGCGGGCCCTGCACACCTCCTCCTTTGGTGGAGGCGGCCAAGAATCCAGTCCCAGACTCCGGCCCAGAAACTCCAGAATACGTGAGAAGAAGCGTTGTAGAACAATATATAAAGCATGACTATGTTTTTGTTTGTCTAAAGCGGGCATCATGGTGCATGTCTGTAATCCCAGTATTTAGGAGGCTGAGGCGGGCATATGGCTGGGGTTGGCTGTGGCCAACCTGGGCTACACAGTGAGTTCAAAGTCAGCCTGAACTCCATAGCAAGACCCCATCTGCCCACCCAAAATTTGTCTATACTTCATCAAATGTATAATGTTTTTGGTTTTATGTGTCAGCTTGCATTGTTTTCATTGTTTGTTGATATACTTTTTAGGTATACAGTAAAATTACATTCATGACTGGGATCTTATACCTTTACGTGATGTTCTTGGTTCTCATTTTTTCCCCTTCTCCCTGCCCTTCATTCACCCCTCCACCCCTCCCCATTTACAAAGACTTTGTTTCCATTTTTTCCTTTTCTTTTACGTCTTCTTTTTCCCTTCTTTCCTTTCCCCTACCCCTCCCACTTCCCCACTCCTTTAACCCTTTTCTTCCCGTTTCATATTATCAATTATACTGTTTGAACCTTATTTACACTTTTAGTTTTTCACACCAGAGAAACTATTTGGTATTTACCCAAGTGTGTTCTATTTATTTCAGTTAAGAGTATGGTCTCAATATGCACCCATTTAGCTATAAATGACTCTAGTTTCTCATTCTTTATGGCTGAGTAGTACTCCACATAGAAAAAAAAACCCACATCTTTATCCAGTCTCCAGTTGATGGGCAATTGAGCTGTTTCCAAGTTTTAACTATTACAAATTGCTGCTATAAATATGGGTGAGCATATATCACTGTGGTATGGTTCTTTTAATTCTAGAAAGATATGAGACTAACTAATAATAGTTACTAGTTTTGCAAAGCATGATATAAACTAGGGATTTTTTTTCATGGTACTAGGGATTAAACTTAGTCTTCCAACTGAGCTATATCCCCAGCTGTTTTTCTTTTTCTTTTGATACAAGATCTCTCTGTGTTGCTTAGTTGCTCAGGCTGGTCTGGAATTTGAGATCCTCCTGCCTCAGCTTCCCATACTGCTGGGATTACAGGTATGCACTATTGCACCTGGCTTGGGCTGATACTTTAGTAGTAGAGAATCATCTGCCAAAAAGTACTTGCCTTCCCCCTCAGGACCTCCCTTATGTCCTCAGTGTCACTCAGGGTAAAGATGTGGCTGAAGGGCAGACAGACCTGCCTCTCTTGTGGCGTGCAGCCTGGAGCAATTGGCTTAGCTTCTCTAAATCCTGGCTGGGCATTAGGAAAGCAAGTCCACACCTTACAGGACTGTTGGGCACTAATACGACCACTGTCCGTCTCTCCTTGAGGGTGCAGCCCAGCCCAGCTGTCTGCCTTCCCACAGCCCCATGGTGCCCCCCGCAGTGTAGCCACCTAGTCCACAAACTCCGTAGCTGGGAGCCACACGCGCTTCTTCTCCTGTGGTCTTTGAGGGCCCACAGCCTGAGTGTGACTCGGCCAGGTCCCTGTGGGTCCCCAAGGCCACAGCTGCGGAGCAGAGCCAGAGACTCACAGATGTAAGCACCGCCCGTGTGCCCGTCGTGGGTATCTTGGAGTCCCCGTCCCCACCCGGCCTCCAGGCTCAGAACAGGAGCAGCTTGGTGTCCTCTGAAGTCTTCCCGTCCCCCCAGCATCACGAGTGTCAGCCCTCTTGTCCCGTTCCTACCATAGCAACCGCCGGGTTTCATGACTTCAGAGCATGTTGTGACACTTTCCCTCCAGACATGAGGTCCCTGAGCCCAGGTCCCTTGATCTTCATGTTTTTACATTTTCTGTAAACACAGTTGTCCTTGTGATGGCTGGGGACAGGGCCCAAGACGCCAGAGGAGGCCCGAAATCATGGAGAGTGCTGAGCCTTTCATATGCTGGCTTTTTCTTACACATATCTAAGATAAAGCTGTTTAAAAGTTAGCTCCCCCTCAAACAAACAAACAAACAAAAAAAAACAGTTAGGCTCAATGCCAGGCATGGTGGCACATGCCTGTGATCCCAGCATTTTGAGAGGCTGAGGCAGGAGGATTGAAAAGTAGAGCTCAGCCTGGGCAACATAGCAACTTGGCAAGACCTTGTCTCAGAATGAAAAATAAAAAGTCTGGAAGCGAGGCATGGTGGAGCATGCCTATAATCCCAGCACTTGGGAGGCTGAGGCAGGAGGATCAATGTGAGTTCAAGACCAGCCCAGGCTATATAGTGAGTTCCAGGTCAGTCTCAACTACATAGTGAGACCCTGTCTAGACAAAACAAAACAAAACAAAACAAAAAAAAAAGGCTGGAGGTGCAACTCAGTGTGAAGGCCCCATTTTAAAGCCCAAACTGTGCAAAAATAAAGCTGAGTAAAAGCTTAACAACAGTAATAAAACAGAGCAATGACACTAATTTGCTGTTATAAAATTGCTGCACAACTCTTGCTGAGGCTGTTGCTAAATGAAATATGGATCCTTTGGATTTCACACTGTGATTATGTGACAGGATATTGGACAGCTGCTGCCCACATGTACAGCGTGGGTCACAAGCAGAGGGACAATATCATCAACTGTTCGGAGTGAGGGAAGCTTTAAGAGTTATGAATTATTGATTCCTGGAGTTTTCCATTTTATATTTTCAGACCTTTGTTGACCTCATGAAACTGAAACCTTAAAAAGCAAAACCCCAGATGAGGGGACTTCTGTTGTGTCACAATTGTGTTTTTCTACCACTTACCTTTCTTGCTTACCACCATAATTATGGCGTTTGTTAACTCTGACATACAAAGTTCTGGCTTGTTCATTTTTCAGGGCAGTGTACTAGTCCATGGTGTGAAGATAACACCGTGTATTTGCTTGCGGCTCCCTCTTGCTTACTGCCATAAACAGGTCAGCAGGAAGTGTCCTTGTCCCCAAGCCTGTGTGAGAGTTTCTGACACAAGGATCTTCACGGCTTTGTATCTTTCAGATAAGGCCAAACTCAGGAGGCTGAGGCAAGAGGATTACAAATTTGAGGCCAGTCGGGATAGCTTAGAGAGACTCTGTTTCAAAATAAAAAGAACGAAAAAGGGCTGGGGATTTAGCTCAGTGGTTCCAGTGCCTGCCTTGCAAGCCCAAGGACCCAAGTTTGATCTGTACCCTCCTCAAAATATAAATAAATAAGTAAATAGAATTTAAAAACTGGGTAGAAAGCCCCTAGGGTCAATCCCTAGTACCTCAAAAAAAGAAAAAAGATAAGACTAAGGAATTCTCCACACTGATAGCTGCAATTTGTTTATTTCTTATTTTTTTGTTGTTGCAATTTATACACCCACCAGCAGGGTACAAGCATCGCTCCATTTCCTTCTCATGTTCCCACGTTTTGCCTTTGAAGGG